ACAACAACAACTACTACTACTACTACTACTACTACTACTACTACTACTACTGCTACTACTACTACTACTACTACTACTACTACTACTACTACTACTACTACTACTACTACTACTACTACTTCCAGGCCTACAATTGGAAGCTGTACAGAATGCCGCCCCTGAATATTGTTTATGATATCATTATACATGATGTAGTGAATATATACATGTTTTTAAATCGCACTCCCTTTCATAATCGTGACGCAGCCGGCACGTTTCGCTAGGCCTCGTCAGCTACAAAACCCTAAGCAGTGAAACTGAATATAACGCATGCAGATATTTTCACACACCCGTCTCTATTGAGTGTTCCTTGTCTGCTGGTCGCTGTGTGCAGACAACCTCTGCAGGCGGTTTGTATCTTCCGCTTGAGTTCTTCCTGGATTGTTACGATTATTTCTCACACACCGTATGCTTTTAAATAAAAGTGCTAATGACAAGGAGAGTTTAATTAAAACTTCAAGACGAGATAATTCAGGTAGGTCTACGCTTACAGTGGGCGTTGGTAATTGTGTCACGTAGCTTACTATGCTACGATCTATTACTACTGATTTGCCCCCACTATGTAAAATCAAACGGAGTAAAATCCGACCTATAATTCACAAACACTGGCGCACCCCAAGGTTGTGTAGTTTCCCCTGTCTTATTTTCATACTCTGCACTAACGACTGTACTTAATATAATACTACCATCAAAACTAATTTTAAAAAACTTTTTGCAGATGATTCCACTTTCCAAGGCATTGTAACAACAAATGATGATGACAAAAGGGGCGCACTGAATTTAATATTTATAAATTCTTGTTATAAACACTGACTATTAATAATTGGTAGAAAAGATAAAACACAATATTATTATAGTCTTTAGGATTACAAAAGACCCCCACAACCATTATTTATTAAATGTGAAGAACTTGACATTGTAAACACCTACAATTGAAGCCTTGGAGTAACCATCGATTTAGGAGACTTAAACTTAGAGCAGCTGATGGCACTGCACACCTTGACACAACATCAAGAGGCAATAGAATTAAATTAAATCTTTCAAAGAAAACAGTGACCAAAAAAGAAAAGGTCTACTTTCACCCAAAGAAGACCAAAATCGTAGACATCGGCAAATGCAACTTTTTAAAAATGGAGCCGTTAGGTCTACATGTAATACGAATTGATGAGGAAGAAATAGAAAGAGTAAGCAGGTTTTTTTTTTAAACCTCAGAGCAAGGGTTGGGGCACATGAAAAAGCAGCCCCAGAGATTAAACGAAGAATTGCAATCGCAGAATTATGAAGTTCATCTGGAAAGGTCCATGCAAAGATACAAGATACAGAGAAAAGAACTCTAGACAGTAGGCTACCATATCATGCACCGCTACATAGGGATGTGAAGCATGGACCATCAATGATGAAGATTATAAAAAAGAAGATTATGACTTTCGAAATGAAATAATGTTATAGAAGAATTCTAAGAATATCCTGGGGTCAAAAGATAAATTATGAAGAAGTACTGAGACGAATAAGTACAGAAACAACAGCGCTCCTCAAGAACACGAACCCCCCCCCCCCCCCCCACCCCCAAAACAGCAACAACAACAACAACTGGAACTGAACTACTTTGGGCTATCAGGCTTTGGCCATGGTTTACTTGAGAAACATATTCTGGAAGAAACGTTTGAAGGCAAAAAAGAATGGTGAGTTCTAAAAATAGAAGTTGGAAATAGTATACGAAAACCTGCCTTAGCGTAGGAGCCAAAACAACCCCGGCAGGCAGAGTGGCGAGCGACTGTGTTTTTCTGCAGGAAGGTCCCGACATTGACAACCAAAATCCAACTAGGCTACAGGTATTGGAAAAGCTAAGCAGAAGGAACACGGTGTATCAAACACCATCGACAAAAAGCTACTATGACATCTTCACGCGTCTCTTGTGGAAAATAAGATCATAAATCAGATAATGTTCTTTTTAAAGAAATTGAGAAGCTTAATGTTGATAATTATTTATAATAAGATTATGCTCTTTTTAATCATCCCATGATCGAGAGCTCGTTGCTGTTTTGCATTTTATCTGCTGGACTGGCGCAGGGTGTAAAATAACGATAAGAAATCATCGAACCAAAGACCGAAAGAAAGCCAGCAAGATTTCTGAACACGATTTTAACAGAGCAGGTGAAATTAAATGTATACAATCAAAAGAATACCCCCCTTCCAGAAAAAACAAAAACAAACCCACCCCCCCTCCCACAAAAAACAGCATTTCAAACGCCCCATAACGCCCCCAACTCACGCATCGGCAGATATACAACTATGAACCAGCACAGAAAGATGGAAAAGAAGTTTTCTAATATCTGCGATAAAGGCTGATGCCAGAATGAAAATCTATGTTTATTGCTGTTGATATTTTAAAATGATTCAAGCACACACATATGTGAGAATATATTTGTGTAACTCTGATAATATATTTAGGCAATAGAATGTAAGAGATAAATTCCTGCATGTGGTTTCAGAGATCATCTGATGTGATACTGATACCGTTGTGATACATGCATGTTGAACCATTTATAACATTTTCTCATTGTATTGAAATTCTTTTATTCACTTAACATACAATTTAAGTTTCATGTATATGTACTGAATATTATTATACAGTGGCGTCTAAAAGAAACTTACATGGAAATGCAATCACCTAATCATGGCGTTAAAGTTGAAGCCTTGCACCCCACTCACGCAGTATACCAATTTAAAGCTAAATAAATAGGCTACTGCATAGTCTGGCACATTAATTTTTCCTGTGTTTCTATCTTATCTCTGTTTTTCACGTATTCTCCAATTAGCTGGCTTCTTTTTCATTTCTTCGATTGTATTATATTGTCTTTTTTGTTAAAGTCACAGCGAAAATGTTTGCATTATCACTTCTTTTGGCTGAAAATCTTATTTTGTTTTTCAAATTTTGCTCAAAGACATGGTCCTTTCTCTGCAAAAAGTAAAACTTATCTCAGCCTTTTGTTTTATCCTTTTCACACTCATCAAATTCCGAGGGGGCATTTAGTGTTTTCTTTGACGTCTTTGAACAGTGTCCTGTCCGCACCCTATAGAATCATAGTATATTTCTAGAGAGTTAGGCTTACTCTAATAAAAGTCTTGATGTTATATATATCAAATTTTGAGAAATCGTGAAAGTATAGTTTGTAGACTCAGACGGTTGTTAACTCCCTAGTATTTCTACGTTTTCAACTATAATAGTTTTTTTTCACTTTGGGTACGTTGAAAGAAATCAATATAAGCTTATTTGTTAGAATTTTAAGTCCGAAAAAAAGACATCTATGGTTTTCTTCTTTATCTTTGGTTTACTTCGAACCATTCGGTAAGAGTCCCTAGAGCTACAATTTCACCCCC